GGGGGCGGGGCGGCAGGACAGATAACAACACAATACACTTTGAACATGCTTGATATTAATGACAAATCCTCAAAGAGTTATTGTGATGTGGACAAAAGGAGATTGGCTATGTGCATGCTAACATTAGTCACCCCCAGTCCATACGCAGCCTCCCTGCCCTTCTGACACTGCAGGGAGCTCAGGGCAATGCCCTTCACCAGCAGCTTGGCTCCAAGCTGCCATGCCTGCAAGTGCCCAAGGCACATCTGGAGGGAGTCCCATAGGTGGAAAGCCAGAGCAGCAAGAAGGTTGAACCCAACTGTAAACCATCTCCATAAACCAGAAAAAGGAACGAGAGAAAAAGACTACAGAGGAGGTAGAAATTAAATTCACTAAGTAGGGAACAAGGTCACATATCTGAAGAAAACTCTAGACAGCCATGCCTTCATTCAGGCTTTGCCCTTGACTCCCTCAGGAATGAGAGGCACACAGAATACTACCTACCAACAACCACCAACCCTTTCACATGCTAGTTCACCTGGCCAAGAAGCTGGATCTGCCAGGCTGTTAAGGTGACCAGTGCACTCCCTGTCAGGCTGCTGTGGGAATGAGTTCAGCCTGGCTGTCTCAGCACTATGCTCGGGTGTCTCCAAATACCCTCAGTTAGATAACACAGCAACCTCTCTGAGCTAGAATTTGGGGTTTTATGTGTGGCACTACAGAAATGAAGACACTGAGCTGTCTAGAAGCACAAATAGGGCATGCTCAGTCTCAAAAATACTCTCATCTGTCCTACTTCTTCCTCCTTTTCCCAGATTCCCAAAGGAAATAATTTATTGATGACTCTTTCCAGAACTGCCAGAGAAGAGCAGGAACGTGTTAAACGCACAGACAAGGATTTGTAGGGCTAGAGCTTTATTTGATACTGTAGTAGCTAGAGCATAAAGGAAATAAAATGTCTTCAACTTCCAAAGTTGTCTTGCCAGATGGATTCATAATTAAATCATTTGCACAACAAATACAACGATTGAAGGTTGCCAAGTTTTCAGGTAACTGCTTATTCTCATTCACTCAGAAAGTTAATGAGATGTTTTGGCTAAAATGTTAAGCGATACTCCTGTAAAGCTATTCCAAAATCTAAATTTAGAGTTGATTGTTACAATGCCACAGATGCTGCAGATGCTTAAGGGACTCTCATATAATTTAATCTTTATTTATTAAATGCATCAACAACTCTAAAGTTTTCATTCACACTGAGCAGAACCTTCTTCTACAAGTAATCAGAATGACTGACTTTTAGAAACTGTATTGAATAATCCTTTTTTCTGTCATGGCAGAAGACTTTAAAATTATATTCACAGAACTTTAACTTAAGAATGAACTTTTGCCAGTCTTAACTATGTACCGGTGAAGAATCTTTTTTATTCTAGGATAAGAATTTATCTTCCACTTTAACATGGTATTTGAATTTATTTGAAAACATGTAAATTATTAGCTGCCCTAAGGACCAAATCTGATTTCATTGCCAGTGTAAGGCAATATTCCCCTGACAAGGCTGACTGTGTAACAGCAGTAAATGAGTGGGCCTGATGGTGAAGAGTAAGCAGAGAAGATATAGAGTGGTACAATTGTGGTTTCCATCGCCAACTCCCTGATGGGACAAAACCTGAACAAGCCCAGGACTGTGACTGACAATAATGAATGCATCTCACAGGAACTGAGGGGAAAAATGATGGGAGTTCTCCAGTGCACAGTTGCTATGTGTCACTGCTTACAACAGCTTCTGCAAATTTAGCCCAGCACGACTAAAAAAGCCCAGGTTTTCTCACAGTTTATGTTGTGTTTTAACATCATAATTTACTTGAGGTAAAGTTCAATCACTGCTTATTTAGCAAACTAATCTCTCTGACCTACCAGTTTCACCTAACAACCCTATTTGATGGGACAGATTTTAATGGGTTATATAAGGAGGAAGTATTTAGCCCCAAAAAGTGGGATTTCTGAAATCACCACTGTCACAATTTCAAGATGGTAAGTCAAATTAAAAACTGTTGAACATCATATAAGTCTGATCTTAAAACACCGAGAACAATAATGAAAGTAAAACCTGGCACCTACCCACTTCAGCCAAAGTCTTGATACATGACTCCACTGAGGCTTTCTGTGTTGGGTTTGGCCAAGTACAGTTGTAAATTCTAAAAGCAGACTGTAGCAGCTGAATAAAAACAGGCTGGTGTGTCTGAAAACAGAAAGATAAACATGGAATTTTACCCTTTAGGATCTCCTGGCAACTGCCTTAGGGTTTGACACAATGTAAACCACGTGCAAGGGGTTTTAAGCTTGTAGACTCAAGTTAGAACTCTGTTAAATTCTCTTTGTTCTTCAGGACTGGAGGGAACAGAAATCAGTGCTTCACCTCTAAAAAGGCCAAACCATGCATTTTTTCCTCAGATTGCCACTGATATCAAGCAAACACTGTATAGAGCAGAAGGACAGAGATGTCTTCCCAGTTCTCAGGTATGTGTCCCTTCTGTCATAGGCCACAGCATTTTTCTCATACGAATACAAAAATAGACCATTATTCTTCAAGGATACTCCCTCCAGTGAATTCACAAGAGGCTAGAGTAAATCTGACCATATTGATCTGCCTACTGGTTCAGAGCTGTAAGTGATAAAAATTAGGAGTAACTGTATTAAGGAGGAATTATGCTGCTAGCCAGTGGCATGAGAGGGGACAGAGAAATTAAAGAAGGATGTAAAGATACAGCATTCCTATCTGGGTAGCAGAAGTTATCTCATTAACAGACTGAATTACATATTTGTCTGTGTTTCTTTTTGTTACCTGGAGGCTGGTGCTGTTATCTGAAAACGGCGAACTAAAGAAGCCACTCACAATGTTCATCACAGGTTCAGTGACATATTTCTCCAGAGATGTGTCTGCATGTTTGCGATCCATGGTAGTGTTACAAACCTACAGGGAAGAAGGAGGAAACAATGAGATTTAGTTCTTATAAATAAGCAAACTTTATAATTTTGCATTTATTACAACACATGTAATATTTCTTTTTAATATGATATGACATACCAAAGGATATATATATATATAATTTGTCAGAGATAACTATGTTAGGGTTCAAGCTCTATTTGTGATATATCTTTCTTCTTGGAGGTCCATGCTGTCTTTTGAATACCCTTCTCTTCTGAACTAGCTCTTTCTGGCTGTCTGTCTATTCTTTCCCATGCTGTGAAAAAAGATCCCCCTAAATCAGCACATTGCATGCCACTTACAGACTTAGACAGATTCAAGAAGAGAATGGGCCTTTCCTCCCACTGTGGAGCTGGTTGGAAGAGGCTTTAGAGACAGATGACACATAAACACCTTAGGTTAGAAAGATTTAATGTAACGTTCAGCTTCTCTCTACAAACAGTCACCACAAATAGGTGGCAAAGTTGAACCTCATTTGCAGTAAAAATGTTTTAAAAAGATGGGGAAAAAAAGAAATAGCATAGTCAATACCAACAGCTTTTAGGATTGTAAACTGTAAAACAAGCAGCATTACTTAGAAAAGCAACATGAGGAAAATACGAAAGACAATCTAAAAACAATGAAAAAAAGAGAATGGATGGTACTGGGACAACTCTGGAACACAGAAGGATGATTAAATAGTGGGAGGATGTGGGAAGTTTTGTACAAAAGATTCCTGAAGACACCCTTTGGTATAACACTAAAAGTTTCTGCATAAAGATGTCATGCTTAAAGAAAGGAAAAAATCACTGGGGTGGAATGCATCTTTCAGCATTTAATTTCTTTTCAACATCTGTGAACATCTACACAGAGTCATGTTGAATTTGCACATATCAGTGTAAACAGCACTAAAAGGAGTCTACAGAGAGCCAAACATGGAAAGAATGGCAAGCCTTGACAAATAAGGAGTACAGACTACAGTCACACTACCTCTTCAACAGCCTTTAAATAGGAAGTTCTATTTATGTTTAACAAGAAATGAAAGGCAAAGCTGTTCTCTCTCTTTCACCTATGCAAGGTACAGATTACTATAATGTTTTAGAGAATCTATGTGAAAGCATAATTTATTTTGTATATAGACTTCTGGGATAACCTCATTACTGTCTGAGCATTTAACCCGAGTGGTACATACTTACCATTACCTCACACTATGGACGGGGAACTGAAGTCCAGAGAAACTGAGTGACTTGCTTAAGGTCACAGAGAAGAGTTGGTGACAGAAGCAGAAAGATAATCTGAATTTCACACAGGGCAAACATGCTCTCTAATTAAACACTGCCACTGTCATGCTTGGACACTACAAAACAGCAATTTTGCCAGGAGTGTTTTAAGGAAGGTTATTGATGTTACATCCAAAAGCACTCAAGTTCAGCTCACAGGAACACAAAAACTTTTTGAGTGTAACACACAAGCATTGTCATATGGTAGGCAGAGGAATACCAAAAGATAATGTGAGATCTACAGAAATGAGGCATCTTGAAGAGCTTGGCTTGTGTGCTTTTCTAAAATGTGTCGGATAAACAAGTCATGCCCCCATGTATTGCATTTTTTATCACCCTGGGAAAGGAAAGATTTTGGTCAGAGAAGCAACAGTGGCTAAACTGAAATATCAAACTCTTCAGCCCTTCAGTTTCAGGAAAAGTATGACAGCATCACCACCTCCAGTCCTCATGGAGGTAACAGATTCATTTAATAATCCAAAATTAAAAAAAAAAAAAAAAATCACAAAACTAGAAACATCTTGAAGTTCTTCTGCTTTTAATTAATCTGCATGCCTATTTTGGCTGGAATCAGTAGCTCTGAGGCTCAGCACTTGTGATCCCGATGGGAAGACTGGGAGCTGTGCAGTACTAGCATGGTGAATTTAGAAATCACCAAAACTAAATTCCAAAACGCTTTTAAGCTTTCCCCTTTGCTTGCCTGAAAAGCAGAGCCATATGTGGAGATGCCACTCTGCTCCAACACCTGTCTGAAAAATTCCCAGTGAAGAAGGAATTCATAAATCCTCTCATTTGTTCTAATCCCTCTGCCCTTTAGGGACTGAAAGATGTTTCCCTGTGGAAGAAAAAACCTGAAATGCATGAAATGAAGATGAGGATTGAGAAAGCAGTGTTTAAAACCCCCTAAAGAGGCTTTGGGACCAAAACTCACATGAATAATACTTCAAAAATTCTGCAGAGAAAGCCAAGATGACTTTACAGCTGTCAGATCTTGGCTCCTTCTTTAATCCTGCTCAGACTATAGCTGGGCCACACACAGGAAAGGGAAGCCTTTCTCTCAGCAGCACCCACTTTGCTTAGTGCAACATTTTAAGACATACATGGGAGAAAGTAGGTTGGCAGAAACTGTAGAAACGGGGAGTCTTTGAGAGCGTGACTGCTTTTGGCAAATGGAATTTATACATGAATCCACCTCATGTCTGCTTTGCAATGTACCACATTGTTGAAAGAGAATGACAGTTGAGGACTAAATATTTCCTTCCTCAATCCAGTAACAGATTAAAAAAATTGGATACTTTTTTTTTTTTTTAATAAAAAAGGGAGGAATCCAACCTGAGAATAACACTCTCCATGTTTCACCTTAGTGCTCTCTAACAACAGACTCAGACTCGAAGCTCACAAACTCACCCAGTGACAGGCATTTGTAGCAGCTAAAAGAAAAAGATTTCCCCTTCCCCCATGCAAAAACATCCCTTTTAGCTCACTAGAACACTGAGGATCAAAGGGCTCTTTTTCTAAATGCTTTGAAAGCTATTCTAACATCTTTCATGAGGCTGACAGCATTCTAACTGTCCTGATAGCTATGTAACACTGATGTATTTATAACACACAGGCTTTGTCTTGGCCCCAGAAAACCAAACCTGAGCAAATACTCAGCAACCTGGAAGATGTGGCTACCCACAGGGACCTAGCTGAAGAGCAGGACAGGCCAGAGCACTTCTGACATGATTTTAGTTCTTTTAGCTGTTAACTGGGAAATTAAAAGGATTAGGCATCCGCCCTGAGGACTTTGCAGGAGAGCAAAATAAATCTGCATTTTGCCATTTGATGCCAACACCACACACACACAAAATACATTAATAATACACTCACTCTTCACCTTTGAAGATCTGGCATCTAATTTCTCTTATGCAAAAGGTATGTCAAAACAAGTTCAGTGGTCACTAGCATCAGGACAACTCTACATCATCTGGCACTCTGCAGTTTGTCTGCAGGCTCATGAAAGCAACTGTGGAGCCTTCTTTCTACATGTCTCCTTCTAGCTCAAGAGCAAAGAAAACTGGTCACGTTCAAGGGTTCGGGAGGGTAGTCTTTTTGGAGGATCAACACCAGGACACATCAGGAAAGGGCAACCCAGAAAGGGAATTAAACAGAAGAAAACACTTCTTGGGGTAAAACCAGCAAGATTAAAAATCAGAATCCCCCTTCAAGGAGGTTTCTCATCTTAATTTTCAAACAAGCCTGGTTTGTCCAGAAGGGCTTTCACTGTTACAACATGATCACAGAGACAAGACAAAGAGCAAGAAAACAGTCTCATTACTGCTGAAAACAGCTGCTACCAAAAAGAGAGCACAAAAATCCTTGTCTTAACCTGTTTCTGGGTGGGGGAAGGAAAAAAACCTCCAACCATTTATAAGTTTTCTGTTTCAGAGAGACATGAACAGGTCCCAGTGTCTATCATACAGCACAAGTCTTTAGAGTCATTCTTCTTTTAGCCATAATTCATACTATTTACTCCCAATAAGTTTCAAAGAAATTATTTTGTGGCACACTATTACTTTGGGGTAAAAGTCTGCTGCAGGACTTAATTGAGATTCTTTTATCTTTTTTTTTTCGTTATTGCAACAAAATGAAGAATGCAAAGAGTGAGAATTTAAGGATTATAAAATGTAATGGATCGTGGACTGGGAAAAAGATAGGCATGCACTACAACAACATGCTCTATAGAACATTCCCAAAATACTGTCTGGCATCAAGGATCAAATACAGTCCACCAGCCACCAAAAACCTGTGCTCCTACTTCCTGAGCAGAAAGAGGAACTACATTAGTTAGTATTGACATTAGGCTCTTGCAAAAAGCATTAACCTCGCAGAAAAGGATATGTAATGTAAGCTGTAATCATTATGTCACACTAGCTTCCCCTCATGGCTCTATTACTGTATTTTATCCTTCTGGAAGTCATAAGATTTCCCTCGTCTTCTGCCTCCAAAATACCAGGGAGTGGAAGCTTCTGACTTGAAATTTAATTCAACAAGTAATGATACCACAAAGCTCACTAGGGTCCACAGGAATTGAATACCTACATTACTAACTATGCCTCATCCATCTTGCAGCCTATAGTTTATATATGAATTAGTATTCCAAAAGACCATAGCTCTACACCTGCCTTTCACATCAGCGGTGAGAAGATTACAGATGTGGAGTTTTTTTAGTCACCACCATAATGTCATGTAACACACACTCCCAGAAGATGTACACAGACTCTCAACCCTGTACATGCATCCAATTTATTTTTCTGGAAGAAAAGAGGAAGGAACATGGGTTCCAAGATGCCCTTTTAGAAAGAGAAGACTGCTAGAAATTAGCAGGTTAAATGATGATAAATAACATAGAAATGACTGTTTAAAAAAAAAAAAAAAACCACAAAGCCCATACCCATTCTATTGTCAGCTTTGAAAAAAATAGTTAATAAAAGAAGTTCACCAAAAAAGTTACCCATTCAGTTGCCACCCACGACTATACTGTAATATTTAATGTCTCATGAAGCTTACCCTTGCCATATCAACAAGGAAGTTCTCAAATAACTTCCAAATGTGGTTACTGGCATAGATTTCTTTCATTTCCACTTCAGTGTCCACATAACAGTGGTTAACAAAATTAACATAGGCAATTTTCACCTGCAGGAACAGAAAAAACACAATAAGAAATGGTACAGTAAAAACCATTAACATGACGTTTTCTATCTGCAAAAATACTGAACAATAAAGATGATCCTTCAAGTACTAACAAGCCCTAATAACAGTAATAATGCATATGTTCTGTTCTGAAGACTTAAGGAGAAACATGGAAACAAATGTATTAATGTACTTACTGAAAGATCACATGAAGAAAAATTGAAAAATTTTGTAAACATTCTTACTCTAACAACAAAACCCCCACAAAACAAAGCAATAATAAATCTGATATTTAAATTATATTAAGACTACAAGGGCCTAGCTCCAAAGCCAGGAGCTGTCAAAATGCAGGACATCCCTGCACTTGCCAGTAGATTTCCTTGTGACAGACTTGCCAAATTTCAAAAGAAAAAATGTCTTTAGCAGAGCTGAGACTACAATCTCTACATTCCCATAAACATAATACAACACTTGCATTTGTGATGGGTGTAACTCAGATCTAAATGGAGGAGAAAGGTTGTGCAGTGCTGGGACTGCAGCAATAGCAGCACAAGGCTTAACAGGACGAGTGCAGTCTCACTCCTCTCCTGCATTACAAGTCTGCATGTGCACGATAAGAATGCATACTCAGTGCCTGAAATGTACAGTTTAAACATAAACATATGCAGATACACTACAAACTTCTTGTCACAGTCAAAGGAGAGGGGATAGTTGGATATGTTTAACAAAGTCAGGAAAAAATTCCTGTCAGACTTCTAGGTTTCATTTGTTTGGGTTTTTTTAAATTGGCATCTATTGAAATTAATGTTAGGAGGAATTTCTGAGCACAAACTTTTTTCTTTTTAAGAAAAGAATCAGTTGATCACAAGGGGACTTTTTCACAGCACAAAGGGAGTCTACTGCTGTCAGTCCCAGTTCTGTTGATAGAAGCTACATTTTTCCACCAGATTGCCTGCAGAAATCCCTCTGACCAATACACAGTTCAAGAGCAAGCTCCTTACAAAGACTGTGAAAAGATTTCTTTTCATCACATCAGGTTTGGTGCAAACAAATATTCCCCTTCTGATCAGCGTGAGGTATCACAGTCCTACTGAAGCATGACAAATAGTAGCTGTTGAATTGGGCCTTGAATAAAAACATTTGCTGGACTGCAACTGAATTTAATAAAACGAGACTTCACCCAAAACTCCCATGATGGGCTAGAATGCTGCCCATCATTTCCAACAAATTCAGGTAGTGGCAAAACATTGGCTTGACTAACCACTTGGCTAAGTCTTCACAGCTACAGCCAGAAGTTATCAGAGCATTAAACTCTAATAGTGGCTGGACAAATCACAAAAACAAAACAAGGTGTCTGCCCCAAAAAGCTGACAATCGAAGCGTGAGGATTTAAGAAAATACTGGCTATCCTTTCTCACTTATTCACCTTAACGAACACCACCTGTTTCCAGCCTGTTTTCTGTATAAATACTCAACTTGATGGCATAATATAAACAACAAAACATTTTCTGATTTTCTAAAAATTATAAATTAACTTCCTCATTCCATGAATCTTACTTCAGGTATGCAGTCGTCATGGGTCACTACTCTCACTATATCATCCAGTGGCAGGAGTGAATTGCACTTGATCTCTGTGTATACATTCTTTCCTTCTGTACAAGTTGCTAGCAATTCCACTAGAGTGATGTGATACGCTAAGGGTCCACTCTCATCTGCTCGATCTCGCTCTGAACACATCATTTGGAGTAGGACTGGAAAAGATGCTCTGTCGTTGTAGAATATCAACACATCTTCACCACAATTTATCAGCTGAAAAAGATAATCCAAATTTTAAGCACCCTGAACTGCAGTCATTTTGGACTCAAGGTCTTTCCCTAAATGATTCTATGATTATGTGATGTTCTTAACTTCTTATTTTGTTCTACCTTTAAGTATGGAATTCTGTCTAGTAAAAAAAAAATAAAAATACTCTGCTGTGGCGTACCAAGTGCACATGTCAAAACAATATCCAAGGCAAACCTGTTCTTATCTACATAAGCACAAATCTGGAATAGCTCACCAAGCAGCGAGCTAATGCAAAGTGAATCTGAAGTTTAATTTCTATGTAGCTCTGTGCTTACCTAAGACAGTACGCCATCCTTGTTATTTCTACCATCTCAACGTTTGTTTGAAGTTAATTAATTACCCTCACCTCCTATTGTAAGGCCAGGATGTATTATTATCCCCGTTTTATAGATAGGGACTTGAGGTGCAGAGAGATTAAATCTTCTGTGCTACCTCAAAACAGAAAGCCTGTGGCTCACCCAGAATTTAACCAACCTCTTCTGTGCCCTTGCTCAGCATCGGAAACAAAAGATGATTCCTCCCAACCTATTCAAATTTGGCAGGAGAGTCTTGACATTGTCATTGTCATGCCAGCATTTCAATTTAACACAGAACTGGTGTATGTGATAAATATTTGATTTTGCTACAAGTGCATTGCTCATCTCAAGAGCAGAGTGAAGGTGGATGCTGGCAGCCTCATCTCAGCAGATCTCACAGAAAACTTTTGCTCTAACCCCATTTTGAACGCCCAATACACTGAATATACGTGTCAGCACTGCTCTGTGAGCTTGAGTGGAGCGGGGACAGGACGGTAGTCCTGTCTTCTCTCCATCACTAAGCCTAATGTACCTTCAATGCAGGTGAAAGTAAGTTCCCACAAAACCCTTCCTAGTACAGAAAGCACCTTGGCAGCACAACAGTTGTACATGTTTTGTGAATAAGGTACTTGACGTATCCAACTCTAGATGTGACATGAAATCCTAGCTTACTGAATTCAAGGGTAGAAATAAAGGTTGGTGGAGCTTTGAGAAATGGGAAAGCAGCAAGAGCAGGAATGAAAATTAGTCTGCCTGAATGAAAAGTCAAGAAACATTTCAGTAATTGCCAGGGTTCCAACATTTCCAATTTCAATTTTACAACTTTTCTGATTGTGTTTTCCCCGTTTCTTGCTTATTTTTACGTTGACAATTGCATGGAGTGAATTGTGAATTCAGTCTTTTCTGCAATTTTTACTTCTAATTTATCTTTGGGTTTCTAAAATTTTCCACTTGTGACTTTTTAAAACAGACATTTTCTGAACAATCCACAGTACCAAAAAAAAGTTTTTAAAGGGACAAGTGCTTGGGGAGGAGGAAGGAGAGAGTAAAGGAACCCAGATACTATTAAACTCATTGCACTGAATGGAAAAAAAAAAAAAAAAAAA